ACAACATTCAAATCCCCTCTGAAATAATTTTTCGTAAGCGAGCCGCCGCTTCAAATTCGATAATGCACAACCCCAACAATTAAATATACAAGAGGTAGCGCCATGAAACCCTAGACCGTACGACGGATTCAATTCAATTTGCATGCCTTTATACATATTAAATTCGCAGGCTTCACTGTATACTAGCTCCTGAACAAACCAATTTGCAATGAATATTGCTCATGCCATGGATGAAGGTAAGGACGTGGAATTGAATGGGAAAAGCGAATCAGAATTCATGAAATTGTTTAGCTCATTCCACGAGTTATTCTCTCACAGCAAAAACTTTTAGGAATTTTGGGCTTTGTTAAATAATCGACTGAGATTCAATGCATGAATACAAGTCCACCGTGAATTATGTTTAGGATGCTCATTATAGTAGGACCAATGAAGTCCGCATCATTTGAGTTCTTTTTCAAAATGTAGGAATATAGGCTTTGACGGCTGGCGTTAATGTTATGGATGGTTTCCGGGTTTTGCCGTGGTATACTTTGGCTACAACCTCTGAACAACAACTGCAACTGCGGTAGTCATTTTCGGTGGCGTGGCGACCACGCCACTGAAGATGACTGCCGCAGTTGCAGTTGAAACGTTTTGAGGCTAAAACCAAAGGAGACCACGGCAAATCCCGGAGCATCCAACCAAAACAATATCAAAATCATTCGGATTTTCGTATTCTACTCAGAATGCTTGTATAAATAAATCTACAGTTGGTGATCAACTCATTAAACATAGCTGTAAATCTTGGAAAACAAACAGCAGACTCTAGGATTCATTTTTGATTTGAGCAAAGCCTTTGATCTCGTTGTCCATGACATACTGCTACACAAATTGCAGTTTTATGGTAAACGTGGCTCTGCATTGAATTGGGTTGGATCTTACCTGACTGATCATAGTTAGCTGGTCTGTGTGAATGGAATGGATTCTGAAAGAAAAAGTATATCAAAACGGGTACCTCAAGGGTCTGTTTTGGGACCCCTTTTATTTTCGGTTTTTATAAATGATCTTTTGAAATTTTGTTCGAAGACTTCTATTACTGCAACTGATCAAATTTCTGAGTGGTGTTCTATAAATGGCCTGCTGCTAAATTCTAGTAAATCTCAAATGCTCAACTTTGTTACTAATAATACAACAATTAACAAAAGCTATTTGGTTAGACTAAATAATGAAGCTTTACATCAAGTTAATTGTACTAAATTCTAAGGTGTTGATATTGATAATAAACTTACCTGGAAGTGCCATGTTGATAGTGTCAAACTGAAGCTCAGTAAACATATATATTCACTTCTTCGGTTAAAACAAACAATCTCTCTTGATATTCTCAAGCTTTTATACCACAGTTTAATTTAGTCAGTAATTTCCAATGGTCTTGAACTGTAGAGCTTATCAGCTAAAGCTGATGAAGTTTTTGTTATTCAGAAAAAGATAATCAGAATTCTGGCTGGTGCATTTTCAAGTGAACACTGCAGGCCATTATTATTCAGTTATAGTTTATTAACAATGCCTAGTTTGTATAT